TGCTCACATCGGCCCCTACCAAGCTCCCCGATAGGTCAGACCTGGGCCAGGTTCACCTCGGCCCTCATACTTAGCATTTGTCGACGTTAGTGGCGGCCATCTCGACTATCCGAGCTGGGCATGACTCATGAGCCATCTTGGAGCACCAATAGGGGTCCTCCACGTGTCCAGGGTATTCCCTTCCCCAAACAAATCTCATGCATAGAAAAAACTGATGAATAAGTCATAGAGTAAGTCGTTATTTTTATTGGGCTCTGATTTTAGGCGATCTGAGTGTTGGCGAATACCGTGTGAGGTTCTCTTAGAAATAGGAAATATTGGCCGCTGCAAGAGTGACTTTGCTTCGAATGAAACGATTCAGCTTTGGCACTTTTGTTTGATTGTTTCATTTCCTTGCGGCAAGGGAGAAAGAATGATACTATTCGATTCAAATTGGCATGCAACATGGTTATTTACTTGAGGGGTGTTTGTTATACATATTTGGGATTTGAGAATGTGAAGATTTCATGAATTATGAGAATGAAATTTGAATATACATTTAGTTTATTTAAATTCCAAATATTGTAAGATTAAGTTCATTGATTGAAGTTTGGATAGTTTGTATAAAAACGTGATATTAATATACATTTTGTAATTTGCAAATTAGCTTGATTTTGTATTTTGAACCCTTCAGGCTTGAAGTATTACATTCATGAAGGATTGAATAAACTTTAAGAGAAATTTGAGGTTAGTAAATATGTTTATGATTTTCGAGCTCCAGAAAAATATTGTTGTGTAGCATTGTAATTGATCACTTAATAATTACTGTTTTGAAGTTCATATTAGTATTAATGATATTTTGGATTATTTGTTAGCCAGGAATATTTGATGTCACATGATAATCTTCCATGTATTTACTTTTATCTACGAAGGAGTACAAATTTTTGTTGTGATCTTCTGATTCAAAATCTTTTTGCACTTGTTTAATTATGTTAATGATCATTGTATACTATGATTTATTAGGAAAATTATGGATAAAACTTGGATAAAAAACCCGAAGAAGTTAAGCAAAGAATATAAAGAAGGAATTCGCTTGTTCATTGAGGATGAAGATGAAGATGAATATGAAGATACAACATCGTCGGATGAAATCGATGACTCTGATATTGACGAGTACTCCCATATGGTATATTATATTTTTTGTATGCTTATAATTTATGGTTCATACTAATTCTAACAATTTGTTTTATTTCTTGTTCTATCTTTGCAGTCATAATTTATTAGGAAAATTATAGTAAGGTGTGTTCTGAAGTTAGTTTCTTGGTGCTCTTGTTTTGCTATCTAGTTTTAAGACTTTACGTATGTTTTGAGTATGTCTTCTGAATTCCGTGTATGTTTGGAGTTGTTTGAGGTTATCTTTCTAAATTGCAACTGTTTGGAGTATGTCTGAAGTATGTATGATGTTTTGAATTTACTTATGTTTGAAATCATGATAAAGAGCCAGGAGGCGGGGTATGGTTTAAAGGGTGTTCTTCGTGTTCTGTCTTATGATTTATGTATGTCTGAAGTATGTTATGATTAACTTATGTCTTAGTACATAAGTTCTTGAATAGTTCTTGATAGATTTTGTGATAGTTACTTATGTTATTTGTTTTTTATTATTCTCGGATTTGAATGAGGAAAACACAAATATTTTTGTGGTTCAATTTTATGAAATTAGTTGGATTTTTGAGTTTTATTTGACAAAGGAGGTGTGTTTGTGAAATTGGTTTAGTATATTTGTTTAATTTTGTCTATTAGTGTAGGCTTTAATACTTGTACTACAACAATAGTTGATGTTATTCTTTGTACAGGATTGATGTAACAGATTGATGCAACTATATATGGTGGAAATATATTTTGTAACCTTGGCTCAATTGAAGGGAGAATGTTATTTGCAAATTTAGATAGACATTTTGTTGTTTTAATTTTCAAAAATTTCATTCTATATGTAGGTACTCTAATTGAATTGTTTTTATTTGCAGAAACATGTATATGTTTTCAATGACATATGTTGTTCAATGAAATTTGTATTATTATCTAAGTAATTTTGCAAGTTGAACGTTTTAAATTTAGCGACGAATTTTGATGTCGATTAGACATTTGTGTTGATTTTGCATAATAAGGAGAATTAAAACAAAACGACAAGGAAAACTTGCAAAAAAGGAAAATTATAATGAAAAGAAATGGTCAGAATGCGACGAAGGCGTTTTCGTCGCAGAAGCGACAAATGCGATGCAAGATATTTTCGTCGCATATGTGATGAAAATGCGCTTTGTCGCATATGCGGCGAAAAGTACATTTTCGTCGCCCATATGCGACACACGGGCATTTTCGTTGCTTTACCTCTTCAGCGACTCAGTTTTAGCAACGAAAATTGCGATGAAAGAATTTTCATCGCAGATATTCTTCAGCGACAAAAATTTCTTTTCAGCAACGAAAACTTTTCGTTTCGTCGCCGAAACCCCTCATTGTTGTAGTGTAATGGACCTACAGATCAGAAGCTCCAACAATACGAAGTTAATTGATTGAACTCATTAACCAAATTAACCAACATTTGTTAACTACGGATCACTCCACTAACAACCCGCCGCTGCACTTTTCTCACTGCAGAATATTTCGTGTCCACGGAAATTAACTATTGACGACAAATCAATACTTCACGAGCGTTGTAACTTCAGCTAGGTCAAATTATCATTTTACCCCTGAGTTACCTCTTTCACCTTAAGTACCACTGCTCCTCTAATGAACAACCTGTTTATGGTCCGACCATCAAACAGAAGTCCCTCTCGGGCCAATGAGAGGGTGGAGCCCCTTGTTTAAGTCTCGGAGTGAGTAATTAAGGGAACACTCATCTACTTACCCTAAAGTCGGGAAGGAGTGAATTCCATCTTGCGTAGTTATGTCCTCAGCTCCCCACTTTGTCACATCCCCAAAATGGTAGGATTATTGAGTTGGCAACACTACAAGAATATTGTTGTTTGGCGACGAAAATTAGGGACGAAACAAATTTTTGTCGCAAGAAAAGCAATGAAATTATTTATTGTCGCAAAACAAGCGACGAAACGAAATTCGTCGCTTGAAAAGCGACAAAAGAAACTTTCGTCGCCCACCGCAACGAGGAGCGACGCTGAGTGCAAGGGGGTGACGAAATTTCAATTTCGTCGCCCCATTTTGAGCAGCCAACGAAAAGAAGGGTGCGTTTTGGCACTGGGCGACGAAATCGTTTTCGTTGCCCCCTTCCAAAACCCCAAACCTTTCTTTCTCCCCCATTTCTCTTTTCTTCTCCTTTCTTTCCTCTCGGGTTTTCTTCTCTATTTCCAGTCCCCATCGCCGCTGATGACTTATTGCCGCTGTTTCTTCCATTATTTCGCCGGTAAGTTGTACGATTTTCGTCAAATGTAAGTTTATTTCATTTTTAAAGTGTATTTTACTTCATTTAAGCTTACATGCAATTTGTTTTTTTTTTTGTAGATTTCGTTTTGTCTTCACTCCGGCGTTCAAACGAAAAGTTACCCCGTTCTCTTTGGGTCGAGTTTAAATCGAGGTAAATGTATTTCCTTTTAAAACTTTAACTTACTTGATTTATATTTATGTCATATTTTGTTGGGTCGATTCATTCACGATTGGGCGTTGATTTATATTTATATGTAATACTTTTTTTTTGTGTAGATTCATTCATTGTTTAAGAGATTTTATTCAATTGTTCTTGTGATAATTACTATTTGGTACAATTTTTCACTTTTTATTTTATTTGAAGTGTTTTTATTATTTAAAGTGGTTTAAAATATTGTTCTTGTTGTGTAGTGTTAAATAATAATATTTGTATATATGTTTGATATTCACTTTAAAATTTGGTTCTAGTTCACTTGGAATTAGACTTAAGATATTTATGCTAATTTATTTTAGAATTCAATTATTAATAATGCAATTCTTTTTTACTTATTTTATTTTGTTTTTATTTGATAGAAGGTTGCTTTAGATTTGAATTTGTGTGAGGTTGGAATAAAAAAAATTTAGGATTGTTAGGCTTATGATTTTATTGTGATATATAAATTTTTTATTATAAGTTCGTACTTTCACTTGTTTAATTATGTTTATAATTATTTGAATTATTACTTTTGAATAGGAAGAATTATGGATAAAAGTTGGATAAAAAATCCGGATAGGTTAAGCAAAGAATATACCGAAGGAATTAGGTCGTTTGTTCAATTATCAAAGAAGCATCTCGATAAAAGAGGGTTCACACGTTGCCCATGTACAAATGTCGAAATTTACAATGGAAACGACCATGTGATGTCGAAGGTCATTTGTACTCCTATGGAATGTATCCTTATTATAAGATATGGACTTTCCATGGTGAAACTAGAGAGTTGCATTCCAAGAGAATACGTACAAACGTGGACTAAAACACAGGTCAGGAATAAGGAATTAGTGAGATGTTAAATGATTTTATAAATGAGAGATACACTAAGTCTAATGAAGAAGGACCGTCAGTTAGGGGTGAATTAAGTGATCACAATAGACAAGCTCAAAATACCAAGTTTCAATCCATGCTTAATGAACTTGACCAAGAATTATACCCTAGATGTACGAAATTTTCGGTACTAACATTCATGGTTAAGTTAATGCATATCAAAGTACATAATCTATGGAGTAATAAGTCATTTGATATGCTGTTGCAATTACTTAAAGAAGCTCTTCCTAATGACTGTAAAATTCCAGAGTCTTATTATGGTGCAAAGAAAATGTTACGCAATTTGGGCTTAGGATATGAAAAAATTCTGCTTGCAAGAATGATTGTATCTTATTTTGGAAAGATAATGAGCAAGCTAATGTCTGTCCACAATGTAACGAACCTCGTTACAAAACAGACAAGGGGAAAGGAAAAAAGATTCCACACAAAGTTCTAAGACATTTCCCATTGATACCTCGATTGCAAAGATTATATCTGTCTAAGCATATGTCAAATGAAATGAGATGGCATAAGGAAAAAAGACTAGACGTAGAAGGGGTTTTACGACATCCAGCTAATGGTGAGGAGTGGAAGGAGTTTGATAAACAACATTCTTGGTTTGCCAGGGATTCAAGGAATGTAAGATTGGCCTTGGCCACTGATGGATTTAATCCATTTGGAAACATGAATGTATCATATAGTACATGGCCAACTATATTAATTCCATATAACTTACCCCCGTGGAAATGCATGAAGGAATCGTTTTGGTTCACGTCATTACTCATACCAGGTCCAAAAGCTCCAGGAAAAGAAATAGACGTTTATTTGCAACCATTGATAAATGAATTGAAAGAATTGTGGTCTACTGGTGTTGATACGTATGATGTATGTAGTAGTCAGAACTTTCCAGCTTATGGCAATTTCTCCGGATGGAATACGAAAGGCTATAAGGCATGTCCTGTATGTAATGAAGATATTTCATCGGACAAATTGCATAGTAAGATATGCTATATGGACATCGTCGTTTCTTACCACAAAATCATTCTTGGCGCAGAAGTAAACAATATAATGGAAAAACTGAACATAGAGTTGCACCACGACATTTTTCTGGATTGGATGTCATCCACCAATTAGATTCCATTAATTTTCCGCCACTCAGAAAAACTATCAATGTTTCACAATGGAAATGGAAGCAACTAAACAGTCAATTTAATTGGGTGAAGAGAAGTATATTATTTGAATTACCATATTGATCAACTCTCAAGATTCGACACAAACTTGATGTCATGCATATCGAGAAGAATATTAGTGATAATGTCATGGCCACATTATTAAATATCGAAGGGAAAACAAAGGACACTGATAAAGCACGTAAAGATTTAATGAAGATGAACATACGTAAAGAATTACATCTCCAACATGTTGGGAACAAATTGTTAAAACCGCATGCTAGCTACACGTTAACGTTAGAAGAAAGAAAGAAGTTTTGTAGTTTTTTTGAAAACGGTAAAATTCCCTTATAGTTTCGCATCGAATATTTCAAGATGTGTTAGTGTTAAAGACGGAAAAATACATGGACTGAAAAGTCACGATTCACATGTGTTGCTTCAAAGACTTTTACCAGTGGGTGTTCGTCTATTTTTGCCCAATGATGTAATGGAGGTATTGCAGAATTGTCGAATTTCTTCAAAGACTTGACTGCGAAGACATTGAAAGTTGAGACTTTGCCATTTGTGGTACCAGGACGAACCATTCGTACTTGTATCTTAAGCACAACAAGTGTTCTATGTTGAAGATCACAAATTAGGGTCTGGTTGGAAAGTAGTTCAAAAAATTGAACATAGACATTTATGGGATGTGCCTGAAATAGAAGAAGTTGATGTATGTGAAGGAGTTACAAATCAATGTGAAGTTGAAGAAGTGGATATCGAAGCACATACATTTCATAGAGTCGATATAGATCCAATTATAATATCCGACAATATTGATAGGCTTGAGATCGTCTTAGATTTTGGCGATAATGTAGAGGAAGACATATATGAGGAGGAAGAAGATGAGGAGGAGGAGGAAGAATACAAGGATGATGCAACATCGTCAGAAGATGACGATGACAATGACGATGACGAAGAAAGCGATAACTCTGACATGTACACATGATGGTATATGAAATATTAGTGCAATGCTGTATAATATAATCTTTTATAATTTATTAGAATGTGTTTCTTTTTGTGTTTTTTTTTTTTTTTTTTGCAGGGATAATGTCTTCAGATAGCGAATATGAAAGAGCAGCTGTAGAGCATCGAGAAAA